GTTATTTGTACACAAAAATGTATTATAATGGGGAAAGCATATTACTATTTGCAACTATGTATAGTTAATTATAAGTATTTTCATAAAAATGTTAAATTTCATGAAAGTTTTGTTTTGGGAGTTAAAATATAACATTAGTGTAGATCATCTGTTGCAATATGCTGTAGGTAGGTAAACAAAGAGTTTCATTGTCTAAATTGCCCAGAGATGGGCCCAACAGCTAATGTTAGTGTGAACTGAGAATGGCCTGGTGGCAGGTGAGCCTCAGTTCTATTCCTCAAAACCTTCTAAATTTTCACTTTTGTGACACGAGAACCCTAAGTGATGGTTAATTTTGATTGACAGCTTGACTGGATTGAGAAGAGTTTAAGAGATCAGTAAGGCCTGCTTGAGGAAATATCTAGAGAGAATTAACTAAATGCTCTGAATTGGGTGTCAACATTTTCTAGGCAGGGGGCCCTGACGAAATAGAAGGAGAAAGAAGAAAGCCTGCTAGTGACCATTCCCTCTCTCTGCTTCCTGTCTCCTATGATGGGAGTTGCTTCCTCCACCTTTTCCCTCTGTGAGCCTCTGCCACTGTGAGCCTAAATAAATCCTCCATCTGTGAGGGTGCTTCTGGAAGAGATTAACATTTGATTCACTGGACTGAGTAAAGCAGATGGCCATCTCTAATGTGGATAGTTATTATCCAACACAATGACGGCATGAATAGAACCAAAAGGACAAAGATATTGATCTTCTATGGCTGTGGAGCTCCTGTCTCAGGGTTTCATATTTAGCCTGGAATCCACCTCATGGGCTCTCTGGTCTTTGAGTTCTGCTACTGGCCTTCCTGGGTCTCTGGTTGGCACTTGGCAAGTCCTGGGACTTACCAGCTTCCAGGATCGTGTGACTCAATATAACACATCTTCTTCATATATATGTTCTGTTTCTCTAGTGCAGGACCTTTTTGCCACTCTGACTCCTTTTGACTTGAAACTTTTTCATTTATATAGGTATGATGGTTAATCTTGACTGCCCATTTGATTGGGTCTGGAATAAACCATTAGAAAGGCCTCTCTCTGTGGGTCTGTGTGAACATTTCTATGAAGAGTAGAGAAGAGCCTCTTTGCTTTCCATAACCTTCTGGGCCCCCAGACATAAAGATATCTAAGGAAAGAGCAGTGCTGGGTTGTCTTCCTGTCTTCACTTCTTGACTCTGTGTTTGCTGCTGCCACAATTATTCACTGATATCAGACTCCAGCTTCTTTAGATTACAATGTGGATTCAAGACCAGCGATTTTTCAAGGATCTTCCAGGTCATCAATGTCTGATTGGGACTGCCAGGCATCTAGTTTCATGGACTGAGCAGCTATTGGATTATTAGGGTCTCCAGTGCAGTTGGCCATAGTTGTACTACCCAGCACCTGCTGTGTAAATTAATCTAATAAATTCCCTTTTTATAGTATGCATTCATTCTATCAGTTCTGCTCTTCTGAGGAACCATATACTATTAATAGGTATCTAAGACAGGTAACCAAATAAACATTTATTGATAACAAATTGTAATTTAATACAATTCTTAGGAACAAATATAATTTTAAAATTTATTAAAGATGAATGCACACCAAATGGGGGGACTGTCTGTTTATTCTTACATAAAGAATTAAGTATTGGTGGAATGTTTGGTCTTGCAGAATACAGAGCATCTTCAACATTATTCAGAGCTGATCAGTATTTTGATTTTATAACCAACACTGAGAATGCTACTTCACATAACTACATAGTACAAAATGGTAGAAGTATATTTACCATCTTTTTTTTAATTTTTAAAATTTCATGTATATGAATATATTGCCTGCATGTAAGTGAGTGCACCCGTGTCATGCAATGCCACAGAGGTCAGAAGAGGGCTTCGGAGTCCCCTGGAACTGGAATTAAGGACAGTTCACAGCAGCCACCATGTGGGTGCTGGGAATTGAACCCGGGTCCTCTGCAAGAGCAGTCAGTGCTCTTAACTGCTGAGCCATCTCTCTAGCCCCTATTTACTGTCATTTTGAGCATTATTAGAAATTTTGTCTTATTCACAGTCAAAATTCAATTAATGATATTTTAAAAGTGAAACTCAAACATCATTTTCAAACCAAACACTTTAACACAATACAACCCAAAGATACACTAATTTGGAACTTACATGGTATGGAATGATGATAAGAAAATATTAAAAGACCTTCTTTGTTTTCCATAATTAAACCACTATGTTTCTACAATAGTAGGAAACTTTGTGTGTACAGTAAAAACACTGCAATTCTGGAGAATAAGAGACTATGGAGTGCTCAGTCCTAAAAAGGACACTTGGATCACACCCTCTCTTCCTAAGGCTCAGGATCATTTTGGAAAAGGAGGCAGGAAGATTGTAAGAGCCAGAGGTGGTAGACGAATACAAGGAAACTGTGTTGTCTGGACACCACAGGGTAGTTGCACATATGAATCCACACCACTTATGACAACATGCACAAGACCAGACAGGGATGTGGCATGGATGGGGGAGGTGAGCAGGAAGCTTCAGCTCTAGTTGAGGATCTATTTATAATTGGTAAATGCTATGAAAGGGAGAGTCAGCTTTTTTGATGAGTGTGATGGACTGACCAGATAGTCCATACCCAAGAGCATTTAGGAAACATAGATTAGACTCACTAGGTCTTTAAAAAAAATGACAAATAATAGAGGATATGCGTTTGACAATAGAGTCAGGGGTGGGGTAGTAAGGTGGGGGAAAGAGAAGGGGGGAGGGGGTCTGAATATGATCAAAATACAACGTATGAAATGAATATTTTCTTTAATCAGTATGTTAAGAAAAAATATACTTGGATAAACAAAAAACAAAACCAAACAAAACACAGTGCCTGAGCTGAGGTGTGCCAGACAGCATTCATTAGCACTGCTTGACATGATGGCATGCATGGTGCAAAGTGCATATTGTATGTTTAGAACTAAGGCTGCAGAGAAGTCACCTAGTGTAACACATGTGAACACTATTAGAAACACGTCAGATTAACTGTTTGTGAATTAATTTTTGGTCGTTGTACATTCAGAAGCCTATTACTGTTCTAAAATTTTTTGTGACCCTCACATTATGTGAAACTGTGTGGGGGTCAGGACCCATTTAAGAAGCTGGGCACTAGAGAATCCTAGTATGAGGCATGTCTGCCACTGCAAGCACTGTCTGAGGCTACATCTCCTCAAGTTTCACTGGAATGCTATATAGACTACACCACTTAGTGGGGTAACATATCTCTTAGCATTCTTGATCTTGGAATATAAAACCTTTTCAAATTAATACAGATAGCTTGCAAATCTGACTGTGTACTTGACCAGAAAGTGAATTTCAAATTTTAAAAGCACAAACAAAATAGCAAACAAAACTCAGACCTCCTTGAAGATTTAAATGTTCAACTACAGTAAGAAAATACATCTTTGGTGTGAGAAATTTCAACATATTTGAGTGTAGAAAGAAGATTGAGAGAACGAATGCAGTAGTGTGGTGAGCTGTGATATGTCAGAAATCTAAATGGACACAGTGAAGAAGCAGACTGAGAGATGACTGTGGGATTCCAGTCCATGGAATGATGTCACATCAGCTAAGCTTCTATGGAAACATCCTCACAGTCATGCTCAGGGGATTGTCTCCTAGATGGTTTTAAATCTCAAGTTGACAATCACAATGACCACATTATCTTAATTCCCTGACATTAACTCTCAGAGCATACATTCCACATCACAGTGTCTCTCTCTCAAACGCTGAAGAAGGATTAGAGACTTTCAGAAAGTTCAGAAAGACTTTCTTAAGTGGGAGGCACAGAGCTCTGAGTTTGTAGAGGACCAGATAGAAAGTCTTATGAAGCACGGGGATCTTCACGCAGAGTTGTCTGATGTAAGTCTGGATGGTTGGTAGGACATTTCCAGTGTCACTGTGAAGTGGCTAGGTGTCATAGGCAGGAGAAACTGTGTTGGAACCTCTGGAGCTGGAGACAGGGGCAGAGGTCCTCTGCTGTGGCAATTTTCCTAGGGGAGGCTCCTCAGGCAATGCCTGCCACATTGTGGTCTTGGGGTGCTCCTTTTATAGTCCCAGGTGGGGAGAATTGCATATGGTATGATTGATAAGTGCATGTGTCTGGTGCATCTGATATTTGATATTTTCACAGGTGTCACTATTTATTGGCATAAAATAAATGATCAGTTTGTGCCTCCTGGTATGCTGGCAGATGGTGCTTGTGTAAATGAGATGTCGAGTAACTCAGGTTAAGGTTCTTGATTTGTAAAACAGAGTTGCTCAAGGCTTAAGGAAACCCTGAGCGCGGCTGTTCTACATAACAAGGTGACTCAGTTATTCTCCTACAGCAACTTAAAGGGGGACCATAAGGAGAAGACTTAACACTGGAGAGTAATTAGCTCTGGCAGGCTGAGGGGCTGCATTTGCAGCCCTATAGGTGTTAGTGAGGGTCCAGGTTCGGTCTGCGCCAGCAAGGATGTGGCCTGCATGGTCTACCTTGGCACAAGGAAGCTGCACCAGAGGTACCATGGTCGCAGTCCATTTGGATAGATGGTTTCCATGTGTGGCAATACCGCCAGAACCTGGTCACTTGGCCACACGCACCTTCACTCCTTCAGCCAGACTCCCGAGACACTGGGTTTGCGGCTCTAGGGTACAGTAGAACCACCGTACCAGGGAGCGGCGGGCGAGAAGAACCGCAGTTCAGTACCCCCAACCTTGGAGCCCTTGGGCCTAGCGCCTCACGCCGCTACGCATGCGCACAACGACAGAGTGGAGTCGCGCTAGTGGTTCGACGTCATCAGGGGGCCTGTAAGGGGGCCGGACTTAAGGACACCCGGCGCAGGGCTTTGGAGCTCTGTGATGTCATCAGGCGCCGACGAAGGGGCGGGTGTTTCGTTGGTCACGCCTCCGGAACGGTGACGTGCTCCTTGACGTAATCGACCGGCGACGGGCGGGGCGGAGCGGGGAGGCGCGCAGGGGTGCAGCGTCCGGGGCTGGAGCTGAGGGGACTGGGTAGGGAGAAGTCGCTGAGTAGAGAGTAGGGAGGGGGGGCCGGAGCATGGCGGATCAGATCCCTTTGTACCCGGTGCGCAGTGCGGCGGTGGCCGCAGCCAGCCACAAACGGGCGGCCTACTACAGCGCCGCGGGGCCCGGGCCAGGTGCCAACCGGCGCGGCAGGTAACTGCGGGCCCGACCCTCCCTGGCGCCGCGGCCCTTCCTTGCGGTCCGGCGGTCTGTGCGGTAGCGCAGCCGCGGGCTCTGGAGCGGAGGGCCGCGGGGCGCGCCGCGCCCAGGGGACTCGGGGACGCCCCCGGAGCCCCGAAACGTACTGTGGGACCAAGCGGGCCGAGATGACAGGTTCAACTCGTAATCAGTGTAAAAAACATGCCTTGCCAAGTGTCACTGATTTTCCCAGATGTGAAGTTCTTATTACCTTCACTTTGTACTTAGCCACGTATGGACAGAATACGTCCTGTTGACAGAGGAGCGGGAATAGGTTATAAACTGTTTAGTGCGGCCACAGTTTAGCGATCGAATTAAAAATTTGCAGACTGACCTTGGTTTAAGCGGATATCCCATATCCTATTTAGTAGTTGTACTTAGCTCATATTTAATTTGCCCATCAAAAAAAAAATAGTAATGCTGTGCTTTAGAAAAGAAACTTAAAAGAATACAATGCATTATAAAAGGAACTTCAATGGAGAGTTAGTACCTCATAGTTACAAAATTTTATTTTGTTACAGGGGTATTTAAGAAACAACCCTTAATACACGGGGCGTGGATAACAGATTTCACTGTAGGGCCTTCAGAATCTGAGCTTTTGAATACTTTTGGTTTGAGCTTTATTTTTAAGGAAACAGATTTATTGGATATTCTGCAAGAATCAGCAGGCTGGAAGTAAGAGGCCTGTTCTAGTCTAATTTTGGCTGTTTTGAGAGACTAACAAGCACAGGAGTTCGTGTAAGAGAACCGAACTAGATCTTGGTCCATGTACGTACTAGCAGTTTGTTCTTTAGTCACTTGTTTGTCTGAGCCCTAATTTTCTCATCCGTACAGTACTGGTTAGTATTTTGTTCTCAAGGGAACATTGAGATTTACAGAACTTCTGTAAGGTGCTCTTTTTGAAGTGCTTGCCTGAGGTGAGTTCTCCAAACTACCATTTTCTATTGTTCTCCCGATGTTAGGAGTAACTGCATTAGTGATTCTGTAAGTGGCTAATTTTAGGTGATTATCTGGAAATTTGCCACCTGTTTTAGATTTAATTTCTGTCACATTTGAGTCATTTATTCCTTTGTTTCTGATCATTTTCTTTGCTCAGAGATCTCCATTAGATCTTAGAATAACCATTCCTGCTTTTTGGGTTAATGTTTGCATAATGTTAGCTTTCAGTTTACCTATGTTGTTGAATTTAAAGTGCAGAAGTTTCTTGTTGGGTCTTTTTTTTTTTTTTTTTTTTTTTTGAGACAGGATCTGATTGTATTAGCGTGCTGGCCCCAACTCTCAATCCTCTTGCCTCTACATCCCAGGTGTTGGGATTCCAGGCATGCCCTCTACATTCCAGGCATGCACTGCCATGCCCGGTTTAGATTTTTAAAGTGGCATATTAAGACCATTTAAATTTAAAGTGATTTTTTTCCCCCATACATTAGAACTGAAGCATGCCATTTTATTTTCTGTTTCTTGTGATTTTCATTTTCATGTTTCTCTTTTCTTGTTTTCTTCTGGGTTATTTGAAAACATTGAGACAGTGTTTTACTTTACTAGGTTGGCCTGGAACTCGTAGTGTAGCACAGACTAGCCTTTAACTCTGGTGTGCAGTGCTTTTCAGTGTATCTCTTTGTATAGACACTACTTGGTGTAAATCTAGGTATTACAG